AGAATTGGAACTCCATTTAGCTTTGTTCCACTTTTGCACTGTGTTGATAGGATGAATATGTTAAGATCTTGGTCGGGTAATATACAGGAAAACTCTTAGTATGTCAAGCTTATGAGATCAAGAACAAGGTTTACCATATTATATAACAGTCATTATGTTTATCTCCAGAAGTGGAGTGTTTTTTCTTTTTCAGCTGTGGTGAAATACTTTAAAATCTTACTTTTCCAGTTATATGATATCTTTATGTTGGCTTTTGTTGTAGCTATGAATATAGTGAACCAATATTTGTAACTGCTGCTTGATAAAGTAGATATCTATTATTCAGTTATACATGCCATGGTGTGACAGTTAATCAAGTGCTTTTGTTGTAATTTTAATAACATATATTGTATCATGAAAATATACAACACCCATAATAAGGTTAGGAATGACAAGTAAGAATGTTTCATCATGTTGTTCTTAAATTATGCATTGTGTTAGTACAGACACATTTTAGTTAGAAATGCAAGGTTTGCATGTACTAAATAATGCCCTTGATTCATAAGGAAAATGACATGAACATTAATAAGTAAGATATCTGCAAATACTATTTAACCCTTTAATGTTGACAGATCAAGATTCTTACCAAGGAATTTATCAACAGATGCTTGTTTTTCCATTTAAAAGCTGCTGTAAGGAAAATATGTTATTGAATATGACAGGTATATGTACTATTAGGCCATTGTAGGGTTCATAAAGAATTGTAGAAAGAGATAGAAATGATATTTAGGATTTTTTCCCCTCAAAATTGGTGACTTGCTGATTGCTATAGATTTCATGAAAGACAATTATGGTTAGCCATTTATGAAGTTCAAATATATACATTCATATAATCAATTTATTTTTAAAGAACGTTAGTCTTCGTCTGAACTATTGGTGATTTTGGTGGCTAAATTCTGGTCTCAATTTTTTTTCCCCACTGGTGGAAAAAGACACATCTGTGGATGTTGAAGGGTTAAACGTAAGATTTTCACGAATGGATATGTGCAACTGTAAAGTGTGAAATGCAATGTGCAAAGAGCATGGCATTTGCGTTACGGTTTATATGTTGGATTAGTGCTTGGAGAAGGATTGTGCGCAATAAAGATTAGACAAATACATAATGTAAAGAATGTAGAGGGGAGATAAAAGATGATCTCCATTAAGACAAAAATGCACATTGGAATGACATTTATATGAAAGTATACTTTGAAATTATTCTGTAGGCCATTGTAGATATGATATTCACACTCATGTAGTGTGGAGTTTTCCTTTACTGCATTATAACTAGTTTTGTAGAAAACAGTATTAGAAATAGTTGCTAAAAGCATAATCTATAACTGAGGTGCTTGCCTGTTGTACTCTTGGCATAGTAATGTACTTCTGGTATAACGTACTTTTGGCATAGTAATGTAGTCATAACATTGGTACAGGTACAGGAGTTGTCTCTGTTAAGATATATGGCCGTGTTTCACTGTTACTGAGCTTCATTTTGGAAAGCGGTTGTGTTGAAAAGTCTCGATGTTGCCACTTCCGATAATGCCAGTGCTCGTAGATCATTCCTTTCATACTAATAATGGGCATCAGGTCTCTGTAACATGTGCAACATCTTGTCTTATCAAAGCTGCATCATGTTTGTATTATCTTTTAGACTCTCTCCATCTGTGGCTGTAGTTATCCATATCTAACATGCAGTTTGTCGGTGACACTTAGTGTTTGCAGAGGCTTGTCAGGGCAAGTACGTGTGCAAGGGGAACAACGAGTACCAGTACTGCATTCACCCAAGATACAAGTGTGACAGCCACTTCAACTGTGCTTTCCCTTATAGTGGATCAGATGAGCAAGGATGTAGAGGTTTGTGTACTCAGTCTTCTTACGTAGGGCTGGTTGCTTGTATTTCTTGGTTAAGTGATGATTAATGTTCAATGATATTTTGTAGTTTGGCTGATGCTTCCAGTCATTTATTCATTTTCTGTTTTATAATGTAACAGGATTAGCATTTAACAATTATTATAAAACATGATTCATTCACTTCCATAATTCTATGAAGGCTTCTCGAATATAGAGTAATAATTGGAAAGTTGAATCTGTTAGTCTTTGATTGAGAGGCTAGAGATCAAGATAATGATTCTCGGAGACTGCTGATTAAATATTAATATGATGCAGTCACAAGTATCAGTGACTACAGAGCAGTGAATTAAGCATATACTTAAATTCCACAATGGCCAAATTACAAACCTGCAGATCGGCATAGATTTAGCACACTTCAATTCTTGCAGCAATACAACATCCCATATTCTCCATGACCACCATCATCATCACAACGCTGGCTGGCATTGTAGGGCTTGGGCTTATAGTGTGCTGTCTCTTCACCATAATCATGAGAGCCAGGTCTCGGACAACCACTCCAACAGGGTAAGTGTGAGGGAAAGAGGTAAAGGTGTGGTAGTAGGGAGAGAGAAGGAGAAAGGAGCGATTGTGATGGGAGAGAAGATAAAAAATGGTAGTGATGTCAGGGAAGATAGGAGTGGTAGTGATGAAAGAGGATTTTACTTAGGTTGTGAAAGTTACTTTTATGTATTAGATATGGAATTCTTTACAGAAAACTGACCATGCATGTTGTGATAAAAATAAGAGATTGAAGTTTTCTTAGCCAATGAACTAGTTAAGATATAATAGTTTTTACAGTGTCTGTTCTTTATTCACTAACAATTAAGTTAAAATATTGTAAAACTGAAAGACTTTAGAGATGGTATGATGAATGCCTTAGAATTACTGGGTTTATGTCATCTGTAGCTGATATCAAAAAGGTTGCCACAAAAATGCTTATAAAATGTTTATATCTGTAATTTGAAAGGATGAATTTTTATCTGCAAAATGTGGTGGCAAATCCTGTATGGGGTTATTTTATCAGAAGCCAAAAAAAGAAAAATGTTACTCATTATCTGAATATTTAAATGGATATATAGGAATGTCAAACAATGCAGCAAGTTAATTATGTTAGTATTACAGTGATGAGATGATAATCACCCACTCTTATTATTATTATTCCAGAACACCAATCGAGGCTTCAGCACCGCCCCTTCAGCGCCAGCACACCCTGCCACGCTATGAGGCAGTTGTTAAATCTGATGCTAGGCAGGATTGGGGACCTGATGCCCCTCCGTCCCCTAGTGAATTCCCCCCGAACTACCATGCCCTCTTCCCCAATGGGCCTCCGAAGGACCTGGCTGCCGAGAGTGATGAGTTATAAAAGAAAGCCTAGATGACGGGAAGGGTAGAAAACGAGAAACAAAGTGTGAAAGCAAAGAAAGAAAGAAAAAAAAAAAGTTCACATGTCAGATAATGACCCAGATGAAACAAAAACAAGATATAAAAGAAAGAAAGACAATAGACTATGAAACTTATTCAGGTAAATTTGATCTGTGTTTATGGTGTTTTTGTGTGTGATGATTATAGTGAAGAATCTGAAGAGAAGTTTCATAGAACAAGACGTTTTTGATGTGTTATTGATCTGAAGTAAATGTAAACATCATTTTGTTGTGTGTAATGAGAGTTGGTGAATGTTAGAAATATTATCAATGACATTTTTCATAATCGAGGTGCCATTATTTTATTCCATTGATTTGAACAAATTACAGCAGATGAAATTTTGATCAGATAACTTGTATCCTTTGGTTTTACACAGTGATAAAGGTAGAAGATGGATCGAGCTTGCCGTCATTTCCATTTGTCTTTTGCCAGGTGGCAGATATCCATTAATGTTAAGGTTGATTAAACTAATCCAAAAGAACCACTCATATGAACTCATCCATTAGCTTCTCGTAGGTAGCACTGGATAATTATTTTTGTCATTTGAATCAAGTGACCTTTAAACGTCTTTTAAGGGTGCTTTCACTTTGCCGAGGAGCTTCCGTGTATGTTTCCATGTTGCTATACTTTCTCAGAAACTTTAACTGAATGGAATGTTTCTTTTTATAAATTACTATTGTGGCCATTATGATACATAATCTATATATATATATATATATATATATATATATATATATATATATATATATATATATGTATATCTATATATAAGCATTGATAATAATGTGATAGAGCTATTCACAAAACTATAGGAAGTAATCTTTTATGAAATACACTAGGACTTTCAGGTCTGCATTGTCCTAATCATGGCATTTCTCCAAATTCAGTGTGTAGCAATGTTATTAGAATCTTACTCTGTCAAAAAATCCTTTGGTGATTTTTACAGGAATCATGTACAATTCTCTGTGTTCATAGTAATGTGCATGTTTTTGTAATATATTCAAGATATTTTTATATTGCTGGTTATTAATGTGTGATAAAGAATTAGGCCTAGAATGAAGACACATTAAGGTAGAGCCTTTTGTACTGCAAATTATGTTTATGAATCGTTCAGGAATGTTGAATATTATTTTATATGTGGGAAACATACAAGAAGTAAATGCATAACACACATTGACACACGCGCACACTCAAACACGTACACGCACATGCACAGTCACAGTCGCATGCACATGCACATGCACACTCAGATGCACATGCACATGCACCTCACCCCCTTCACACATAAAAATAACTCAAAAATAAATGTATATTTATGTGCTTTCATAATTGTAAAGGTTTTTAAAAGTAATTTAGTGTAATCTTGCATTTTGGAGAATGAAATTACATATATGTATCTTTTTTTCTTTCTGTATTTTCATTTCAATTTAATGAATATTTATCCCAACTAGGTAGATTATTGGAGATTTATAATTTCTCAGCTTTGTCGATGAAATCATTGTCTTTGGGGCTCGTTTCTTTTTTGGTTGTTGACGTAAGTGGGAAATGCTTATAGCTAGTCTTCTTATGGTTGTCACTCCTATCATAACTGCTGCTGTTAGTAAATGGAGCTTCTTATATATAGTGGACTCACAGTTTGCCTATTTCGCCTAAAGTACATGTGGAGATAAAGATAGACACTTATGACGCATCTTAGAGAAGGTTAGAGATAACGAGAGACTGATCTAGATTGAGAAATTGGAACTAAATGATGAAGATGGAGTTAAAGAGAAAATATATGAAAGTTGTTTATTAGAGTGAGACTTGGGTATTGATGAATTAATTTAGAGATGGAAAGATGAGTAAACAAGACGGAGAGGAAGAGAGAAAAAAAGACGAAACACAAAGAGACAAATCACAGAAACAAAGGTAAAGACAGAGGGGGTAAGACTAGAAGAACGACAGAGACACATAGATGTGTTCATATATTACTGAATAACCTATTTACTTTGTGAGTGAATGGTTAGGATGCTAGAATATGACAGAAAATTTCATCTGTATGGCTGTACTCCTCATGTGTAATGGGAGAACGTAAAGTATGTGTAATTTTAAGATCTTATAACCCCCATTTAAGCCTTTCAACTCTATCTTGTAGGTTTTTACTGTCTTCATCTTTTAGAAATAATAGTACATTTTATGAAAAATGTAAAACTTGTAGTTAAACTTGTAATGGACAATATTTTCATACCATCAGTACATCTTAACAGGTTCATTTGTAACTCAATGAGAGAATTTCTGTAGTCTGTAGAACATCAGTGCCATATTTGAAAAGATATAATCAAAAAGTTATCTGGATAGTTTCATGCACTGGAAAGTAGATGAATGAGAATTTGATTGGTTGAAAATTAGATGACTTTTTTTTTTTATAGAGTCTTGGCCAGCATGTAAATGATCTATGTATGTGAAGCTTTGGGTCCTTTTTGACTCTCGGTTATCCTTTCTGAAGTTTGCGGTTATTCCACTTCTTTAGACTTTTAAGAGTTTTCATGGGTTTCCTTCCCCATCTTTTCCTTTTCTCTGTTAGAGTCTGATTCTTGTACTTTTTTTCTTTTTGTTCTTTAAATTCATTCTCATGGTGTCTAGCTTCTGATAATTTTGCTTTCATAGTAAGCACAAAGTTGTAGAAATCACAGAAGCTACAACAAATATACTTATTTTCTAACTCAAATGCTATATGAATATCTTTATATTGCTCTTGCTAACAGTAAAAAACAATATATAATCATGCTCAAGTTCCAATGAGGTGGTCTAATATTTTTATGCATTATAAGATACAGTAGTTATCAATAACTGGCTGGTGATATTTTAGTGCACAAGAATTAGGTGTTCTGACTTCCTTGTATAATGCCAACAACTGAGTTTGATACTCTGTAATTACGATTTTTTATGTGAGCATTTTACTCCTTGCTCTTATTGCATTTCATTTATTTTCATTCCTGTGGTGCATCTGAATGTTAGGACTAGTGATATGGCCAATCTCAGGTTATTTCACTTAGGGTAGAGCTTTCACATTTACAAAGCTAAATTAACAGTTTGGATTGGTGTTCTGTATTTTGCTAACACAGTAGTATGGCAGGATGGATAGAAAACTCAGAATTTTATCCTGGATACAAAATGAAAGTATGGCCTTTGGAAAATGCACTGTTCTGTTTCCTTTTTAATTAATATCAGGTGTTGTTTGCTTTTCTGATGAAGTAGATGTTAGTATCAATATATGCCATGAATATATGTATTGTTAGGGAAGTGTATAGAGCATGGTTCTCAGTTCCAAATTTGTGTGTGCTCATTGTATCTTGAGCATTGAGAAATGTACAATGTTTGATTGTAGTCAACTCTGCTGTTTAAAGTTGTGCTTTCAATTATTATAGCAATCCTAGGTTGTTGAAGCAAATGCTTAGTATCTGTGGTAACACTTTCCATTTAAGCTAATTGGAGATGTAGAGAACAATATCTTATCTTTACTGCTGTGTTCTCTCAGCCTGTCCATTTTTTTTTTTTTTTTTTTTTTTGAATGATACAAATATACGGCATGCAAATATACTCTTGTTATAAGCTGTGCATTGAGTGATCATCAAAAATAAATATTTTGAAGTATGGAGAAGCATCACTTTATACTATTTGTAGTAAATATAGCTTTTATTATATATCTGACCTTTTCAAGGGAAACACATATCACATAAATTTTTGGAGAGTTATGCAAAACAGTTATATGCTTCATAAGGCAGTTTTGCACTCAATTTTACATATTAGATTATTATTTTACATAAATAGTAGAATAGATTATATAACAATTTAGCCAAGATATATTCAGCAGGATATTCAAATTAGACCTGTCTATTAATAAACTTTTGAATGATATCGAAGCCAGTTGTATAGTCGTTGGCTGCTGGCAGTCTGTCTGAATGGTATAAAGATGAACTCAAGATGTAGAAAGTGTCATTAGAGCAATTTGATATATGTATGTATATGTACGCATAGAAAAAACAACTATTTTTCTTGTTGCTGTCTGGATATTGCACAGCCTTACTTTTTTGATATGGTCAATGTGATAAGGTTTCTTGTTTACCATTTTATACTGAAATATTTGTCATAGATGTTCAAAATCTTGAAATAAATCTTTGTATAAAATATGATAGTTCTTTGGTATCCCTTAGAGATTTTTAAGTGCCTCTGCATAGAACAGATGTAATGTAATTTCCAGTTTCGGTTGTTCACGTGGATACTCTGTACTCAATCTTATTTAGAAATATAACAGATGATGTTCATGACAGTGTTCGTAAAAACATTGTAACAAGTTTCATACAGGTTCTGGAGAATCGTGGAAAACCATAGAAAATGAAATTAAGAGTCTCAGACTTGGAATATCATGGAATTTTGTTTTCAAGTCTGCGAAATCTTAAAAATTTTGTGTCTGTGTCTTAAGAATTTATTAGTATGACTTTATTTTTCAATCTATATTATGAAGAAGTCTTCAGAAAGAATTCAAAATTAAACTTTGGAAGATTGAGGTAACTTAATGAAAAACTGAAATATTACATAACCTAAATTTATAGATGCTGATCCATCATTAAAGGGTCAGTGAAACACACTCATAAGTCATTACTTAAATCATTATGTGACAGCATCAATTTTGAACTACAGTTATTGTACATGTTATAATGAGATATATGTAATTTGAATATACATCAAATGTTTAAGGAAAACTGTGAAAAGAGTCAGAAAAATGCCAAAACCTCTGGAAAGTCAAGGAAAAGTCATGGAATCTTGATCCAAAATGTGTACGAACATTTTTGTAAATAAAAACTGTTTAATGATACTATGCCACACCATACTATCATCATGTCTCATAATACGAGTATTGGTGATATTGTATGTGTTGGTACGAGTATTATCAGTGTTACTGCAAGTGGAAATAAATTGGTAATGTTAATGATAAGATTAATAATAGTGATGTTGTTAGCTGATTTATAATTGTGGGTGTAGGTATGTATGCACATATATACATGCATACATACATACTTACATTTATATATATATATATATAGATATATAGATAGATAGGTAGATAGGTAGATAGATAGATAAATAGATAGATAGATAAGTATAGATAGGTAGATATAGATAGATTGATTGAGTGATAATAGATAGATAGATAGATAGATAGATAGATAGATAGATAGATAGATAGATAGATAGATAGATAGATAGATAGATAGATAGATAGCGCTCGATGTGGGTCATGGATTGCAATGGACCCATTTCAAAATTGAGAGAGAGAGAGAGAGAGAGAGAGAGAGAGAGAGAGAGAGAGAGAGAGAGAGAGAGAGAGAGAGAGAGAGAGAGAGAGAGAGAGAGAGAGAGAGAGAGAGAGAGAGAGAGAGAGAGAGAGAGAGAGAGAGAGAGAGAGAGAGAGAGAGAGAGAGAAGAGAGAGAGAGAGAAGAGGAGAGAGAGAGAGAGGAGAGAGAGAGAGAGAGAGAAGAGAGAGAGAGAGAGAGAGAGAGAGAGAGAGAGAGAGAGAGAGAGAGAGAGAGAGCGAGAGAGAGAGAGAGAGAGAGAGAGAGAGAGAGAGAGAGAGAGAGAGAGAGAGAGGAGAGAGAGAGAGAGAGAGAGAGAGAGAGAGAGAGAGAGAGAGAGAGAGAGAGAGAGAGAGAGAGAGAGAGAGAGAGAGAAATAGAAATAAAGATTTCCCGACATATTTGTATTTCTCATGATCTACGAGATTGCCAGGTAAGTCTCTCATTTTCCTTTCTCCTGAGCAACCTGAATTACAAGAAATGATTACATGGAGATTTCCGTGAACTCCGAATGAGTCTTTTGCGTGTTGTGAGATTGTCTGGGCGCTGTAAGGCATGATTTTTTTTTTTGGATACGTTTCAATCGTGAATTTTCCCTAAATCGCCAATGGATGAAAGGTTAGGGCGCTTCGTGGTTGTTCTCTTGTCTGTTTGTATATTGAGAATGCACACACACACGCACACACACACCACACACACACACACACACACACACACACACACACACACACACACACACACACACACACACACATTATATATATTATATATAATTATATAATATTATATATATATATATATATATTATGTATTGTGTGTGGTGTGTGTGTGTATGTGTGTGTGTGTGTGTGTGTGTGTGTGTGTGTGTGTGTGTGTGTGTGTGTGTGTGTGTGTGTGTGTGTGTGTGTGTGTGTGTGTGTGTGTGTGTGTGTGTGTGTGTGTGTGTGTGTGTGTGTGTGTGTGTGTGTGTGTGTGTGTGTGTGTGTGTGTGTGTGTGTGTGTGTGTGTGTGTGTGTGTGTGTGTGTGTGTGTGTGTGTCTGTGTGTGTGTGTGTGTGTGTGTGTGTGTGTGTGTGTGTGTGTGTGTGTGTGTGTGTGTGTGTGTGTGTGTTGTGTGTGTGTGTGTGTGTGTGTGTGTGTGTGTGTGTGTGTGTGTGTGTGTGTGTGTGTGTGTGTGTGTGTGTGTGTGTGTGTGTGTGTGTGTGTGTGTGCGTGCGTGCGTGCCACATTCGTCTACTCCACCATTACGCCTTCTCACTTCTTTCTCCGCCATTACTTCCCCTCCCATGTTTTCTATCATCAATCTCCTTCTCCTTCTCCATCATTACTATCACTCCCTCATTTTCTTTTATTCGTCTTCTCCCTTCTTTCTCTACCATTACTTCCACTCCTCTTTTTCTCCTGCCTCCTTCTCCACCACTACGTCTCCTCCCTTTTTACTCCACCAATACGTCTTCTCCCTCCATCTCCACATTATTCCCTCTTCCTCTTCTTCTCTACCATTACTCTCCTGTTGCCCTTTTCTCCACCATTACATTTCTTCCTTCCTTCTCTTACGTCTGTCCATCCTCCATCTCTACCATTCGTCTCGTCTCCTCCCTTTTCTGTCCATCCTCCATCTCGCCAATTCGTCTCCTCCCTCATTTCTCCACCCTTCCGTCTCCTCCCTTTTCTGTCCATCCTCCATCTCCACCATTCGTCTCTCCCTCATTTCTCCACCTTTCTCTCCCTTTCTGTCCATCCTCCATCTCCACCATTCGTCTCCCTCCCTCATTTCTCCACATTACGTCTCCTCCCTTTTCTGTCCATCCTCCATCTCCACCATTCGTCTCCTCCCTCATTTCTCCACCATTACGTCTCCTCCCTTTTCTGTCCATCCTCCATCTCCACCATTCGTCTCCTCCCTCATTTCTCCACCATTACTCTCTCCTTTTTCTGTCCATCCCATCTCCCATTCGTCTCCTCCCTCATTTCTTTACGTCTCTCCCTTTTCTGTCCATCCTCCATCTCCACCATTCGTCTCCTCCTCATTTCTCCACCATTACGTCTCCTCCCTTTTTCTGTCCATCCTCCATCTCACCATTCCCTCCCTCATTTCTCCACCCTCTCCTCCCTTTTCTGTCATCCTCCATCTCCACCATTCGTCTCCTCCCTCATTTCTCCACCATTACGTCTCCTCCCTTTTCTGTCCATCCTCCATCTCCGCCATTCGTCTCCTCCCTCATTTTCTCACCATTATGTCTCCTCCCTTTTCTGTCCATCCTCCATCTCCACCATTCGACTCCTCCCTCATTTCCACCATTACGTCTCCTCCCTTTTCTGCCCATCTCCCATCTCCGCCATTCGTCTCCTCCCTCATTTCTCCACCATTACGTCTCCTCCCTTTTCTGTCCATCCTCCATCTACCATTCGTCTCCTCCCTTATTTCTCCACCATTACGTCTCCTCCCTTTTCTGTCCATCCTCCATCTCCACCATTCGCCTCCTCCCTCATTTCTCCACCATTACGTCTCCTCCATTTTCTGTCCATCCTCCATCTCCACCATTCGTCTCTTCCCTCATTTCTCCACCATTACGTCTCCTCCCTTTTCTGTCCATTCCATCTCCACCATTCGTCTCCTCCCTCATTTCTCCACCATTACGTCTCCTCCTTTTCTGTCCATCCTCCATCTCCACCATTCGTCTCCCTCATTTCTCCACCATTACGTCCCTCCCTTTTCTGTCCATCCTCCATCTCCACCATTCGTCTCCTCCCTCATTTCTCCACCATTACGTCTCCTCCATTTTCTGTCCATCCTCCATCTCCGCCATTCGTCTCCTCCCATTTCTCCACCATTACGTCTCCTCCCTTTTCTGTCCATCCTCCATCTCCACATTCGTCTCCTCCCTCATTTCTCCACCCTTGCGTCTCCTCCCTTTTTCTGTCCATCCTCCATCTCCCCATTCGTCTCCTCCCTCATTTCTCCACCATTAGTCTCCTCCCTTTTCTGTCCATCCTCCATCTCCACCATTCGTCTCCTCCCTCATTTTCTCCACCATTACGTCTCCTCCCTTTTCTGTCCATCCTCCATCTCCACCATTCGTCTCCTCCCTCATTTCTCCACCATTCCTCCCTTTTCTGTCCATCCTCCATCTCCGCCATTCGTCTCCTCCCTCATTTCTCCACCATTACGTCTCCTCCCTTTTCTGTCCATCCTCCATCTCCACCATTCGTCTCTCCCTCATTTCTCACCATTAACGTCTCCTCCCTTTCTGTCCATTACGTCTCCTCCATTCTCCGTCTCCTCCCTTTTCTGTCCATCCTCCATCTCCGCCATTCGTCTCCTCCCTCATTTCTCCACCATTACGTCTCCTCCCTTTTCTGTCCATCCTCCATCTCCACCATTCGTCTCCTCCCTTATTCTCCACCATTACGTCTCCATTTCTCCACCATTACGTCTCCTCCCTTTTCTGTCCATCCTCCATCTCCACCATTCGTCTCCTCCCTCATTTCTCCACCATTACGTCTCCTCCATTTTCTGTCCATCCTCCATCTCCACATTCGTCTCTCCTCATTTCTCCACCATTACGTCTCCTCCCTTTTCTGTCCATCCTCCATCTCCACCATTCGTCTCCTCCCTCATTTCTCCACCATTACGTCTCCTCCCTTTTCTGTCCCATCCTCCATCTCCACCATTCGTCTCCTCCCTCATTTCTCCACCATTACGTCTCCTCCCTTTTCTGTCCATCCTCCATCTCCACCATTCGTCTCCTCCCTCATTTCTCCACCATTACGTCTCCTCCCTTTTCTGTCCATCCTCCATCTCCACCATTCGTCTCCCTCCCTCATTTCTCCACC